CTCCACTGCACTCCACTGCACAGACACCAATGTCAGGCAGCAGAGGTCAGAAACACCAGTGTGGGGAATGCACGTTACTCCACTCCACTCCACTGCACAGACACCAATGTCAGGCAGCAGAGGTCAGAAACACCAGTGTGGGGAATGCACGTTACTCCACTGCACTCCACTGCACAGACACCAATGTCAGGCAGCAGAGGTCAGAAACACCAGTGTGGGGAATGCACGTTACTCCACTGCACTCCACTGCACAGACACCAATGTCAGGCAGCAGAGGTCAGAAACACCAGTGTGGGGAATGCACGTTACTCCACTGCACTCCACTGCACAGACACCAATGTCAGGCAGCAGAGGTCAGAAACACCAGTGTGGGGAATGCACGTTACTACACTCCACTCCACTGCACACCAGTGTGGGGAATGCACGTTACTCCACTGCACTCCACTGCACAGACACCAATGTCAGGCAGCAGAGGTCAGAAACACCAGTGTGGGGAATGCACGTTACTCCACTGCACTCCACTGCACAGACACCAATGTCAGGCAGCAGAGGTCAGAAACACCAGTGTGGGGAATGCACGTTACTCCACTGCACTCCACTGCACAGACACCAATGTCAGGCAGCAGAGGTCAGAAACACCAGTGTGGGGAATGCACGTTACTCCACTCCACTCCACTGCACAGACACCAATGTCAGGCAGCAGAGGTCAGAAACACCAGTGTGGGGAATGCACGTTACTCCACTGCACTCCACTGCACAGACACCAATGTCAGGCAGCAGAGGTCAGAAACACCAGTGTGGGGAATGCACGTTACTCCACTCCACTCCACTGCACAGACACCAATGTCAGGCAGCAGAGGTCAGAAACACCAGTGTGGGGAATGCACGTTACTCCACTGCACTCCACTGCACAGACACCAATGTCAGGCAGCAGAGGTCAGAAACACCAGTGTGGGGAATGCACGTTACTCCACTCCACTCCACTGCACAGACACCAATGTCAGGCAGCAGAGGTCAGAAACACCAGTGTGGGGAATGCACGTTACTCCACTGCACTCCACTGCACAGACACCAATGTCAGGCAGCAGAGGTCAGAAACACCAGTGTGGGGAATGCACGTTACTCCACTGCACTCCACTGCACAGACACCAATGTCAGGCAGCAGAGGTCAGAAACACCAGTGTGGGGAATGCACGTTACTCCACTCCACTCCACTGCACAGACACCAATGTCAGGCAGCAGAGGTCAGAAACACCAGTGTGGGGAATGCACGTTACTCCACTGCACTCCACTGCACAGACACCAATGTCAGGCAGCAGAGGTCAGAAACACCAGTGTGGGGAATGCACGTTACTCCACTGCACTCCACTGCACAGACACCAATGTCAGGCAGCAGAGGTCAGAAACACCAGTGTGGGGAATGCACGTTACTCCACTCCACTCCACTGCACAGACACCAATGTCAGGCAGCAGAGGTCAGAAACACCAGTGTGGGGAATGCACGTTACTCCACTGCACTCCACTGCACAGACACCAATGTCAGGCAGCAGAGGTCAGAAACACCAGTGTGGGGAATGCACGTTACTCCACTCCACTCCACTGCACAGACACCAATGTCAGGCAGCAGAGGTCAGAAACACCAGTGTGGGGAATGCACGTTACTCCACTGCACTCCACTGCACAGACACCAATGTCAGGCAGCAGAGGTCAGAAACACCAGTGTGGGGAATGCACGTTACTCCACTCCACTCCACTGCACAGACACCAATGTCAGGCAGCAGAGGTCAGAAACACCAGTGTGGGGAATGCACGTTACTCCACTGCACAGACACCAATGTCAGGCAGCAGAGGTCAGAAACACCAGTGTGGGGAATGCACGTTACTCCACTCCACTCCACTGCACAGACACCAATGTCAGGCAGCAGAGGTCAGAAACACCAGTGTGGGGAATGCACGTTACTCCACTGCACTCCACTGCACAGACACCAATGTCAGGCAGCAGAGGTCAGAAACACCAGTGTGGGGAATGCACGTTACTCCACTCCACTCCACTGCACAGACACCAATGTCAGGCAGCAGAGGTCAGAAACACCAGTGTGGGGAATGCACGTTACTCCACTCCACTCCACTGCACAGACACCAATGTCAGGCAGCAGAGGTCAGAAACACCAGTGTGGGGAATGCACGTTACTCCACTCCACTCCACTGCACAGACACCAATGTCAGGCAGCAGAGGTCAGAAACACCAGTGTGGGGAATGCACGTTACTCCACTGCACTCCACTGCACAGACACCAATGTCGGGCAGTAGAGGACAGAAACACCAGTGTGGGGAATGCACGTTACTCCACTGCACTCCACTGCACAGACACCAATGTCAGGCAGCAGAGGTCAGAAACACCAGTGTGGGGAATGCACGTTACTCCACTGCACTCCACGCACAGACACCAATGTCAGGCAGCAGAGGTCAGAAACACCAGTGTGGGGAATGCACGTTACTCCACTCCACTCCACTGCACAGACACCAATGTCAGGCAGCAGAGGTCAGAAACACCAGTGTGGGGAATGCACGTTACTCCACTGCACTCCACTGCACAGACACCAATGTCAGGCAGCAGAGGTCAGAAACACCAGTGTGGGGAATGCACGTTACTCCACTCCACTCCACTGCACAGACACCAATGTCAGGCAGCAGAGGTCAGAAACACCAGTGTGGGGAATGCACGTTACTCCACTGCACTCCACTGCACAGACACCAATGTCGGGCAGTAGAGGACAGAAACACCAGTGTGGGGAATGCACGTTACTCCACTGCACTCCACTGCACAGACACCAATGTCAGGCAGCAGAGGTCAGAAACACCAGTGTGGGGAATGCACGTTACTCCACTGCACTCCACTGCACAGACACCAATGTCAGGCAGCAGAGGTCAGAAACACCAGTGTGGGGAATGCACGTTACTCCACTGCACTCCACTGCACAGACACCAATGTCAGGCAGCAGAGGTCAGAAACACCAGTGTGGGGAATGCACGTTACTCCACTGCACAGACACCAATGTCAGGCAGCAGAGGTCAGAAACACCAGTGTGGGGAATGCACGTTACTCCACTCCACTCCACTGCACAGACACCAATGTCAGGCAGCAGAGGTCAGAAACACCAGTGTGGGGAATGCACGTTACTCCACTGCACTCCACTGCACAGACACCAATGTCAGGCAGCAGAGGTCAGAAACACCAGTGTGGGGAATGCACGTTACTCCACTGCACAGACACCAATGTCAGGCAGCAGAGGTCAGAAACACCAGTGTGGGGAATGCACGTTACTCCACTCCACTCCACTGCACAGACACCAATGTCAGGCAGCAGAGGTCAGAAACACCAGTGTGGGGAATGCACGTTACTCCACTGCACTCCACTGCACAGACACCAATGTCAGGCAGCAGAGGTCAGAAACACCAGTGTGGGGAATGCACGTTACTCCACTCCACTCCACTGCACAGACACCAATGTCAGGCAGCAGAGGTCAGAAACACCAGTGTGGGGAATGCACGTTACTCCACTCCACTCCACTGCACAGACACCAATGTCAGGCAGCAGAGGTCAGAAACACCAGTGTGGGGAATGCACGTTACTCCACTGCACTCCACTGCACAGACACCAATGTCGGGCAGTAGAGGACAGAAACACCAGTGTGGGGAATGCACGTTACTCCACTGCACTCCACTGCACAGACACCAATGTCAGGCAGCAGAGGTCAGAAACACCAGTGTGGGGAATGCACGTTACTCCACTGCACTCCACTGCACAGACACCAATGTCAGGCAGCAGAGGTCAGAAACACCAGTGTGGGGAATGCACGTTACTCCACTGCACTCCACTGCACAGACACCAATGTCAGGCAGCAGAGGTCAGAAACACCAGTGTGGGGAATGCACGTTACTCCACTCCACTCCACTGCACAGACACCAATGTCAGGCAGCAGAGGTCAGAAACACCAGTGTGGGGAATGCACGTTACTCCACTGCACTCCACTGCACAGACACCAATGTCGGGCAGTAGAGGACAGAAACACCAGTGTGGGGAATGCACGTTACTCCACTGCACTCCACTGCACAGACACCAATGTCAGGCAGCAGAGGTCAGAAACACCAGTGTGGGGAATGCACGTTACTCCACTGCACTCCACTGCACAGACACCAATGTCAGGCAGCAGAGGTCAGAAACACCAGTGTGGGGAATGCACGTTACTCCACTGCACTCCACTGCACAGACACCAATGTCAGGCAGCAGAGGTCAGAAACACCAGTGTGGGGAATGCACGTTACTCCACTGCACAGACACCAATGTCAGGCAGCAGAGGTCAGAAACACCAGTGTGGGGAATGCACGTTACTCCACTGCACTCCACTGCACAGACACCAATGTCAGGCAGCAGAGGTCAGAAACACCAGTGTGGGGAATGCACGTTACTACACTCCACTCCACTGCACACCAGTGTGGGGAATGCACGTTACTCCACTGCACTCCACTGCACAGACACCAATGTCAGGCAGCAGAGGTCAGAAACACCAGTGTGGGGAATGCACGTTACTCCACTGCACTCCACTGCACAGACACCAATGTCAGGCAGCAGAGGTCAGAAACACCAGTGTGGGGAATGCACGTTACTCCACTCCACTGCACAGACACCAATGTCAGGCAGCAGAGGTCAGAAACACCAGTGTGGGGAATGCACGTTACTCCACTCCACTCCACTGCACAGACACCAATGTCAGGCAGCAGAGGTCAGAAACACCAGTGTGGGGAATGCACGTTACTCCACTGCACTCCACTGCACAGACACCAATGTCAGGCAGCAGAGGTCAGAAACACCAGTGTGGGGAATGCACGTTACTCCACTGCACTGCACTCCACTGCACTGCACTGCACCGGTGAACTCCTAGACCCACCAGACCCCATCAGTCCCATGAGCAGCATCTGCTGCCCATTGCTCAACCCACCTGAGCCCGTGGGTCCCATGAGCAGCACGTTGCTCTTCTCCACCTCCACCTCGTCCTCCTCGCCTCCCACCAGGTTCTCGCACGCCCTGCTTGCCCCCGGGGAGAGGGGAGCGCAAGAAGGCAGGGAAGGGAGGGGAGCACGAGGAGAGGAAGAGAGGGAGACAGGAAGTACAAGGAAAGGCGAGGGAATGAGAGGCATTTGAGAAGCACAAGGCACGTTGCTCGTCTCCACCTCCACCTCGTCCTCCTCCCCGCCCCCCACCAGGTTCTCGCATGCCCTGTTGAGCCCAGGGAGAGTAAGGAAGAGAGCGAGGCGACAGGGGGCAGAGGAAGGGAAGTGAGGGAGATAGGGAGACGTTTTTGAGAATTCTCAAAAGGAGAGAGGGAACATTGGCACAAATTTTATTGCTGTTTTTTCCTACTGCTTAAGCCTACTGCACGCACGCAGCTCACTGAGCCATGTCCGGATCTCGCGTGAAACATTGGCACAATGCTCTTCAGTTACCTCCTCCACCTCGTCCTCCTCACCAGGAGTGCAGAAATTTTATTTTTCTTTGCTGTTTTACATATGCGCCCTTCTCCACCACCCCGCTCAACACTACCTGCCCCTCCTTCCCCTCGCACCTCTCTCAACCCCCTCTCACCCCTCAACTCCTTCTCACCCCTCAGGCAGGTTGGCAAGTCTTTCCCGCTTCTGGTTTTCAAGGAAGATGCGCTTGTAGTGGTTGTACACCGCTACTGCCAGCACCTGCAGAATACGAGGGTCGGAAAGGGGCTTATAACAGAATGAGCTATAAGGAAGATGCGCTTGTAGTGGTTGTACACCGCTACTGCCAGCACCTGCAGAATACGAGGGTCGGAAAGGGGCTTATAACAGAATGAGCTATAAGGATGATGCGCTTGTAGTGGTTGTACGCCGCCACAGCCAGCACCTGTAGAGGAGGGTTAAACACGGGATCATAAAGGGTCTATAACGAGGATGCGCTTGTAGTTGTAGTGATTGTACACCACCACAGCAAACATTCGATTACGAACATTTAAAAAAGCAGATGTAAAGGACGAGTATGCAATTGTAATGGTGCAACACCACGCCAGCCTGTCAGTAACTCCCACGTCACCAGCACAAGCTCACCTTTTTCGCGTTATCCTGCCCGATCACAAATTCATCCAGCGCTGCCCGGATCTGCTTGGGTGTAGGCAGATTCTCCCCCAGATTCGCCCCCCCCCAGTTATGCTCTGTGCCGTCCCCCCCTCCCCCTGCCGCCCCAAAACAAGGCACATGCCCCTCCCTCCCCTCTCGCCCTTCCCGTCCCTCCCTCCCCTCCCCTCCCCCGCTCTGCTGCCCCCTCCCCCGCTTCTCCCCGGCGCCCGCGCCAGGGGCGGGGGGAATCTGCGTGGGCGCGGCCAGGGGGGAAGGGGGAGGGGGCGGGGAGGGGGGACCTCTGGGGGCGTGCAGGAGAGGGGAGGAGAAGCTAGGGGGATAGGCGCTGGCGCTGCTTCCGCCACCGCCAGTGCCAGGGCTTCTTTTCCTTCCGCTGCTACCAGTCTGCTGCCCCTCAGTCCGCCCCTGCCCCTGCCTTGGCGCCTTTCCCTCTCCCCCTCCGCCTGCCTGCCCCTGCCCCTGCTGCCCCTGCTGCCCCTGCGCCCACGGGTGCCCTCCCCACCCCTGCAAACTCGCCTGGAACCGATTCACATACTCCTCCCGCGCATCCCTCCGCGCGCTCCCCCCTTCCCCCCCGCTCGCCCCGCCCATCATCCCCTCCAGCTCGCTTCGCGCCGACCGGCTGCCCGGGCGGCCGTCCGGGCGGCTGTCTGGGCGGCTGAGCTGCCGCCCAAAGCGGGACCACTGCCATGCGTCAGAGGCGGGCGGTTCGGGGGGAGTAACGGCGGAGAGGGGGAACACGTGTTTCCAGTCCGCCTCATACCAGTCCGCCTCGACAAACTCCCCCACTCTCGCGCCCCCCCCGCCCCTGCCCTTCCCCGATCCTTCCCCCTTTTCCCCACTTGCGCGCTGCCCTTCCGCCGTCACTTGCGGCTCCCCCTCGTTTTTCCCATTCCGCGCATTCTCCGCCTCCCCTGTTCCCCCCGCCACCGGCCTGTCGGTGAATCGCTGGCACTGGCGGCAGAACAGCACCGCGCGCCCGCTCGCGCGCGCCTCCGCCGCGGAAATGGGGGGGGAAAGCGCGGACGCGGAAGGGGAGGAGGGGGAGTGGGGGAAGGCAAGCGCGGGAAAAGAGAGGAGCGAAAGGGGCGCGCGGCAGTCGGGGCACAGCAGCTCCTCGTCCCCGCGCCCGCTCCCCCCTCCGCCTCCGCCAGCTGCTCCCGCCGCTCCCCCACTCCCGGAAACCGCGCCGTCGTTTCCGCCTCTCCCCACACCGCCTTCCCCGTCCCCCCCATCCCCGCCCGCCCCGCCCTCCGCCGTCGCCGCTATTTCCACCCACACGGGCACCGCCCACGCTCCCCCTGGTCCCTCCAAGCGCGCGTTGGGCCACGCGGCGGGGCGGCTAGCGCCGATACCGACGGAATCGGCGCGCTGGGCACTAAGCATAGCGGGGGAAGTGGGCGCAGCGGGGAAGCTGTTAAACGAGAGCGGAAAGTCGTCCGCCCATTCCGCTCCCTGTGCGACGATTCGAGGCGACGCCACATCGGAGGGCGACGATGCTGCGAAAGTGTGCGACAAAGGGACGAGGGCGTCGCATGAGGCGACTGCTTCGTTTACCGAATCCACGACGTACCCGCTATTAGTTTCTCTGTTACGATACACATTCCGTCCTTCTCCCTCTGCGACGAACCAGCGACCACCGTTTGACGACGACATCGCAGGCGACACGTCCACGAACGGTCGCATGAAATCCTCGACTGGCTGCGACAGGCATCGTAACGTGCGACGCCTTGACCTATCGCCGTCGCTCGAACGAGAACAGCTCTCCCCTAAACCGTCTCGACCATCGGGGGAAACCCGAAAAGCTGCAACGTCAGTCGGTCCATCTGAATAGCCGCCACGTGTCGAGAGCGAACGAGCAGACGTGCAACGACCTAGTAGATCCGCGGAGGAGGCGACGGTTACGGGTGGTAACTCTTTGTGACTGGCGGCGACAGGATACGACAGGCGAGGGATCTGTTGCGACAACAGTCCGGTGCGACGACGTGCGGGGATGGACGGTGCGAAGTTCGGCGACGAGAGAGAGGCGGCAGGCGACGACAGTCCGCGTCGCAGCAGCAGCGAGGAGTAGGACGGCCCGGCTGGGAGAAGTGATCGATTGGATTTTAGGGATGCTGACGTGGCGTAAGAGAGACTGCGCGAGAGAAGCGAAAGCGCTCGCCTTCTGTCCGCTCCCCCTCCCATTTTTAACCAGCGGCCAGAGCCTGTATGAAGGAATTTGTGCTGACAAAATTTCGAGCCGTGGGATGCGGCGGTTTGAGTGAGAATGGATTAGTAATCCGCAGCGTACGGCGCGAGAAAAGCGGGAAGTGGCTACAGCAAGAAATTCGAATTCCCGCTGCCCCTGGACGCGCAGGGAAGCAGCGTCTGGAGGAAACGGCCTGCCGGAAATCGCGGTTGACGTGACGACGGCAACCCGAATACTAATCGACTTCTCGCCGTATCACTGCACGACGAAGCCGAGTGTCCAGATTCGTGCTTTTGAATCGACCCGAACTGTGCCTGCTGATGTGAGGAAGGCAACCTACACATGATGCTCACACCCTGCACGCGAATTTGCCCTGCGCCGGGCGGAAACCTTGCACCCGTGGTTTTTGTACCAGCCAGTTGCCTCCACGTTATAAGCGCGCCGAGCAAGTGGCAGTGATATTAACCAATACGAACCACAGAAACTGAAGTTTGACCGAAGAGACTGAAGTCAAAATGTTACAAATTTTCATATGAGCCCTTATAAGCACCTGACGAATCCATATTTGCTAGCTGCGAACTGGCGAAATTTTCGAAATCATTTACAAGCCCCCTTCACAAGGCAACCTCGGGTTAGTCAAACGAGCATCATGTGTACCACCCGCACGGAGGTATCATCTGGGTGACTCGTGACTTGTGGGGTAAGTGAGTTGCGAAGGGTGCTGCTTGCTTGTTCCCTGCTATTTTTGCGAACAGAGATCAAGCAGCAGTTTTTAGAAATGGGTGGAAAAGGCGGCATGGCTGGCAACGCAAAACCACACTTTCCTGGCCGAATTGGTAACCCCCCAATGAGCGTGAGTTTCTAAACAGCGCCAGGAACAAGGAGGGGGAATACTTGTCTTGAAACGAGGAAACGCGTTTCACGAACTTCATCTAGTGTCGTTTTTCCAAACAAAGTGCTCCTGCTTGACAGCGTGGAAAGATGAGCCAGTGACATGTCATGCGTGTCAAGGTGCGCACAAATACCTGACCTGATTTCCCATTCGTTCAGGTAGTATCTCATTTAGCCAATAAAACAGCTTCCCTCCTGCACTCTCACTTCTCCCAGCAACCAATCCAACCCAACACCCCACCAGAATTTTGGGCATTGGTACGACTGTACGTTTATGAAGGAAACTTTAAAATGTACGCCGAATGTTTCTGAATCGCGGACAACGCCGCAGCTAGAACGTACAGATATCATCCAGCCATTCTCGCTGTGCCTTCCAGATTCGACCAGCTTCGCCAGCTGTAGTTTCATTCCGGCCGCTGCGCTCCCTCGTGCTGTCTAGCGTCACCTCTGTTGTCTCTCCCCACGTACATCTCTCCGCGTTTCCCAGGGTCGTGCACGTGGAAAATAAGCCAACCATAGCAGCGGGAGCCGGCGAAATGGCCGGCATCGTTCGTCCGTTCTTCCGAGGCGCGGCTCTGCCCCACCGGTTAGTTTGTAGAAGCATTTCCCACCGATCCTTACCACTGCGCAAATGCGCTCCCATCGTCCATCCTTCGCCCACTCCCCTCCTGCCACGTGTCACGCGCGGAAGCCCCGCTATCGCCGGCGTCCGCGCCAGAATAAGGCAGAGGCGCGCACTGGCAGCGGCAAGTTCGCAGGGCGGGGCGGAAGCGAGTGGCGGAGAGGGTGCGGGGGGCGCGGGGGGCGGGGTTGGCGCGGGGAGCGGGCCGCGGCTGGTGATATACAGCCGCGAGGGGTGCTGCCTGTGCGACGGGCTGAAGGAGAAGATCGATACGGCGCTGATGATGGGGACGGAGTGCAGTGCGCTAGAGGGACTGCAGATTGAGGTGCGCGGGGATTGGGGATAGAGGAGGGATGGGGGAAAGGGGCAGGGGGAGTTGGGAAGATCGACTCGGCGCTGCTGATGGGGTCTGAGAGCAGTGCGCTGGATGGCCTGCAGATTGAGGTGCGCGGAGGGGGGTGGGAAAGGGAGAATGCGCATGGGGAATGCAGGAGGGGGGGATGGGGGGTTGGGGGGTTGGGGGGGAGAGGAAGATCGATGTGGCGTTGCTGATGGGGTCTGAGGTCAGTGCGTTAGAGGGGCTGCAGATTGAGGTGCGTGGAGGGTGAGGGGAATTCGCATGGGGAATGCGCATGGGGAATGCGCATGGGGAATGCGCATGGGGAATGCGCATGGGGAATGCGCATGGGGAATGCGCATGGGGAATGCGCATGGGGAATGCGGGAGGTGCGAAAGGGGGATACGGGTGCTGATGACGAGGTCTGATGATGTGCTCTGGAGGGACTGCAGATTGAGGTGCGTGGGGAAGGGGGAATGGGGGAGGGAGGCATTGGGGTGGAAGAGAGGGAGGGAGGGGGGAGTGGAGGGGGGTGTTAGGGGGAGAGGAAGAGGGGAAGGAAGGGTTGGGAAGATCGAAACGGCGCTCCTGCTGATTGAGTCGACAGCAGTGCAGGTAGAGGTGCTTGAGGCCACATCCCCCATTCCCCATCCCCCATTCCCCATCCCCATCACTCATCCCCCCATTACCCATCCCCCATTACTCATCCCCCATCCCCCATTCCCCATCCCCCATTCCCCATCCCCGCTTTACCCTCCCCATTCCCCATTCCCCATCCCCCATTCCACATCCTCCTTCCCATTCCCCTTCCCTATCCCTGAATCCCCATCCCCCATTCCTCCATCCCCTTTCCCCCTCCCCACTGCCCATCCCCCTTTCCTCCATTGCATTTCCCCTACCTGTGCTTATGCTGTCCATGTGCTTATGCTCTCCATGTGCTTATGCTGTCCATGTGCTAATGCTGTCCATGTGCTTATGCTATCCATGTGCTAATGCTCTCCATATGCTTATGCTGTCCATGTGCTTATGCTGTCCATGTGCTTATGCTGTCCATGTGCTTATGCTCTCCATGTGCTTATGCTGTCCATGTGCTTATGCTGTCCATGTGCTAATGCTGTCCATGTGCTTATGCTGTCCATGTGCTTATGCTCTCCATGTGCTTATGCTATCCATGTGATAATGCTCTCCATATGCTTATGCTGTCCATGTGCTTATGTTGTCCATGTGCTTATGCTGTCCATGTGCTTATGCTCTCCATGTGCTTATGCTGTCCATGTGCTTATGCTGTCCATGTGCTTATGCTGTCCATGTGCTTATGCTCTCCATGTGCTTATGCTCTCCATGTGCTAATGCTGTCCATGTGCTTATGCTGTCCATGTGCTTATGCTCTCCATGTGCTAATGCTGTCCATGTGCTTATGCTCTCCATGTGCTTATGCTCTCCATGTGCTTATGCTGTCCATGTGCTTATGCTCTCCATGTGCTTATGCTCTCCATGTGCTAATGCTGTCCATGTGCTTATGCTGTCCATGTGCTTATGCTCTCCATGTGCTAGTGCTCTCCATGTGCTAATGCTCTCCATGTGCTAATGCTCTCCATTGCAATTCGCCTACCTGCTTGGGTGTGCATGTGCGGCTGGCAGGTGAGGGACATAACAACGAGGCAGGAGTGGATGGAGGCGTATCAGTATGAGATTCCAGTCATGATGCGAGTGACGGTAGACCAATCAGGGAACACTGTAGAAGTAAGTCGACTCTCTCTGTTGGATTCCAGTCTTGATGAGAGTGGCAGTGGACCAATCAGGGACGGATGTAGAGGTAAGTGCTCAAACGCTGTATGATGATTTCCTTTGACATCCAAAGTAACATCTTTGTACTTCCTTTGTCATCCTTGACGCTGCATGATGATTTCCCCTACTTAGCATCTTTGCACTTCCTTTGACATTCTTTTTCATCCCACTTTGGGCTTCTTTTTCAGCTTCCCCATTTCCTCCCTCCCTCCTGACTCCCTCCCTCACTTCCTCACTCCTTCACTCCCGAACTCCCTCTGTCACTCCCCCCTCCCTCCTCTCTCTCGGCTCTCCCAGTTCTTCATTCCCCGCCAGTCGACCCGGGCATCAGTGGAGCGAGTGAGGGAGGCGTTAAATGCTGACTGTTATGTAGCTTCTCCCTTCAATTTCCGGCATCCCTCCTCCTCCCACCCGCTTCCCCTCCACCCAGACCCTCATTCCCCGCCAGTCACCGCGGGCATCAGTGGAGCGAGTGAGGAAGGCGCTAGAGACGGCATTTTCAAGTTCAACTTAAGGCCCGCCTCCTCCGCACTTGCTCCCAGTGCCAGCTTCCAGTGGCGCCTCTGTCGCTTAAGTCAAATTCGGAAGAAAGCATGCTGGATGCTGACAGAACCATCTGCCATTGGTTATGTTTTTATATTTAGGCAAAAGCAATCCATTCAGCAGTATGAACAAAAGAAATCCCGTATCCTGAGGCTGCATATCATGAAACTTGTGCTCTCAGACCTCTCTGTACCCTCGCACCTCTTTGCCCTCGCACCTCTTTGCCCTCGCACCTCTTTGTTGAAACTAGAAGCAGGAATGGTTGCATTGAAGAGATTGTGGGTACAAGTACTAACCCTAACATTGGGTTGTACCCCATATGGGCTACCCCAATATAGCCTTCATAGAACTAACACATATAATTTGACACACCCCCATAGGTAAAGTGGGGGAGAACAAGGGGTCACAAGACCAGTCAAGAAAAGCAAAGCAAGCCCAGGGTGGATCACAACGTCACCACACACACTGAGCACAAACAAAGGGCCACAAGGCCAGTTCGCATGCAGAGGTATATATGCAACAACAATAGTACAGTGATCACTACCTAGCAGGAGTAGGCATGCAGGTATATAATATAGATCACAGTACAAACAAAGTCAAGAGGTAAGCAAGTGAGCAAACACTGGCACCAGGCCTAAAGCTGTGCAAAAGCGCTGATGGTCACAAGGCGGAAGTGCCTTGGTGAACACATCAGCAGTGTTGGCCCTTGTGTCCACGTAAGAAACACGAAGCTGACCACGCTGCTGCAACTCTCAAGCAAGGAAGTAACGCAGAGCGATTTGCTTCGTTCTGTGCTCCAGTCTGTGCTCCTGATACAAGGTAATGGCAGCCTTTTTGTCTACGTACAGCACTAGAGGAGAACGAGGCCGCTCTCCCAAGTCGATCAGCAGGTAGGTGAGCCAGCGTAACTCCTGAGCAGCCATGGCTGTGGCGTAGATCTCAGCCTCACAACTAGAGCTGAGAACAGAAGACGAGCGGGTAGACCGCCAAGAAACAAAGCCAGAGCCAAGGCTGAACATGTACCCCTGTGACGACCGCTGCGTAGCCAGGTCGTCGACCCAAGAAGCGTCGGAGTGTCCAGTGAGGACAACGTCACCCCGTCCTCCAAGCACGAGCCCCATGCCCGATGTACAGCACAAGTAGCGTAACACCCTCTTAGCAGCCTCCCAGTGCTCTCGCATGTGTCTCTCGGGCGCAACGTAGCGAGCCTAGATGCTAAGAGGGTACGGAAGGTCATGTCGAGTGCAGGTCATCAGGTACATGAGGCAGCCCACAAGCTCTGGATACGGGCCATTCGGCTCTACGAACTCATCCGAAGGCAGAGCTGAGAGCGAGTGACCCGTAGCCATAGGAGTGGACTGTGGCGAGGACCAAGTGAAGCCAAAGCGCTGAAGGACCTGCTGCACCATGTGTGACTAAGTCAGGGTGATGGTGCGGCGTGCTCTGTCTCGGGTGATCTGCAAGCCAAGGTAACTGCGCAGCTCACCCAGGTCCGTGCACGTGTGTCGCTTCTGCAGCTCCGACTTCACAAGTGAGAGAGCCTTAGTGTCGGTAGTGGCAAAGACCAATTCGTCGACGTACACGAGGATGTAGAACGACGATAGCGAGGTGTCGTACCGTAGAAACAGCGACGGGTCAACAGTGGAAGGAGCAAACCCAAGAGCCGCCAGTGTCGTCCTCAATGTGGCGTGCCACTCACGAGGCGCCAGACGGAGACCGTAGACTAGCCGGCGGAGGCTCCACTGGGTACCAGGAGGAAAAGACCCAGTGAAGCCAGGTGGGCGGCGCAACCAGATCTCCTCGAGCAAACTGCCTTGTAAGAACGTTGTGTTGAAGTATAGAGAGTGAAGCTCGTAGTCACGCTGGGCGGCGCAGCCAGATCTCCTCATGTAGACTGCCCTATTAGAACGTTGTATTGAAGTCCAGAGAGTGAAGCTTGTAGTCACGCTGAGCGGCAACGTGCAGCAACACCCGAAGAGTGGTCATCTTCGGGGTAGGGGAGAAGGTATGGAAGAAGTCAACTCCCTGTCGCTGACTGAAGCCTCGTGCAACGTAATGAGCCTTGAAGACAGGCGGAGAACCCGGCGGCCGCTTCACCATGAAAATCCACATGCCATCGACTATGTTCGCCCCAGGAGGGGGAACCTCGTCGACGTAGGTGCCTGTGGACTTCCAGGATGCCATCTCTGCGTCAATGGCTGTCTGCCACTGAGAGGAGTAGGGACCCGTAATCGCCTCTGCGTAAGAGCGCGGGGTCGGGATGTCCAGTGCATCCGGGTCTCCCTCAGGGGCAAGTCAACAAGCTCACCGACCAAGGCAGAAAAAGCAGCGGACTCAAAGGAAGGGTCAGTGACAACAGTAGCAAGGAGACACGTGACAGTAGGGCTGGCGGCCCGAACATGGTCAGACTCAGTGTCCGGAACGTCCGGAAGAGAGGACGCAAGTGGCGACGGGAAAAGGACACGCTGGGGAGCAGAGGAAGGACGAAGTACCATGATGTGCGTACCAGGCACAGGAGGAGGACGCGGACGCAGGACACGACGAGCAGTGCGAGCGGCGCGAACAGGCGAGGCAGGACGAGACGCAAGCGCACGACGCTCGGTAAGCGAGTCTGTCTGCTCAATGTAAGGAGAAGGAGCAGGCAGCGGAGAGCCAAGCCATAACAGAAGACGAGTAGAAGACGGGAGGGTAAGAACCTGACGAAGCACGGAGTCAGACGGGGGGGGGGGAGACGACGGCAACAGTGGAGTGACGAACAAACGCCGCTACACAGCACCACCAGCAGCAGTAGCTCCAGTGTTAGCGTCACTAGCTCCACCTACTCCAGCCCCAGAGGCTCCAGCACCAGGGCCTCCAGCGTCAGCGCCTCCAGTACCAGGACCGCCAGTCCCAGTATCGCCAACTCCAGAGTCTCCAGTGTGAGCAGCTACGACTCCAGTAGCCCCAGAACGAGCACCACCAGCCCCGGCAGCTCCAGTACCTCCAGTACGAGCACCTACGAGACCAACAGCACCAGGGGCTCTTCTAGCACCAGCAGCGTCAAGAGCTCCAGCAGTCCCAGCACCTCTAGCCAGGCCACCACCAGTAGTGCCTGCAGCTCCAGCAGCTTCAGTGGCCGAGCCCTCAGCAAGGGCGGGGTCCCTGCTGTTTTGATCCCTTGGATCCGCGCTGTTCGTCTCCAGCTCCGCGAGCGGTTCCGCACGGACTTTCCTGTCCTGCGTCTGCACTCTGACAGAGGTGGTGAGTTTTCCTCCGACCTCTTGCGGGACTTTTGTCAGGGGGAGGGCATCCTCCAGTCGTTCACGCTTCTGGCCTCTCCGCAGCAGAATGGGGTTGCTGAGCGCCGCATTGGCCATTCATGGAGGTCGCTCGCACCTCCATGATCCATGCGGTTGCTCCCCATTTTCTGTGGCCGTTTGCGGTCCGGTACGCTGTGCATCAGCTCAACCTCTGGCCCCGTGTCTCCTCACCGGAGACCTCGCCCACACTGCGGTGGACGGGAGAGGTTGGCGATGCGTCGCGTTTCCGGGTCTGGGGCTCTCGTGCCTTTGTCCGCGATACCACCGTGGACAAGCTCTCCGCTCGCGCCATTCCCTGCGTCTTCCTTGGCTTTCCTACTGACGCGCCTGGCTGGCAGTTTTACCACCCCACCTCGCGTCGTATCTGTCCTCTCAGGACGTCACGTTTGACGAGTCGGTTCCCTTTTACCGTCTCTTCCCCTACCGCACTGCCTCTTTCCACCCCCCTGCCGCTCTTCCTCACTCCAGGTCCACCCCCGGTAGACCCCCTCCCCCCTCAGGGTCCTGCTCCCTCAGGTGTCTCTCAGGTAGACCCTCCTCCCCTGGTTGAGCCTGTCGAGGTCACTGGTGACTCTGGTGCTGCTAGAGGAGGTTCTGCCAGGGGTCGTGTGTCTAGGGGTGCTGAGCCTGCGGGTGCGGGGCCTGAGGGTGCTGAGCCTGCGGGTGCGGAGCCTGGGGGTGCTGAGCCTGAGCGCGTGGAGCCTGGGGGTGCTGAGCCTGAGCGTGAGGAGCCTGGGGGTGCTGAGCCTGGGGGTGTTGAGCCTGAGCGCGTGGAGCCTGGGGGTGCTGAGCTTGAGCACATGGAGCCTGGCGGTACTGTACTTGAGCGTGTGGAGCCTGGGGGTGCTGAGCCTGAGCGCGTGGAGCCTGGGGGTGCTGAGCCTACGCGTGAGGAGCCTGGGGGTGCTGAGCCTTGGGGTGCTGAGCCTGGGTCCAGCCGGCAGGAGCCTCTCTCCCCGCAACAGCTACGTGAGTGGTACACTCGTCGCTACTCCCGTTCGCGTGGCGCTGCTCGTGCTGGGGGCTCGGCCACTGAAGCTGCTGGAGCTGCAGGCACTGCTGGTGGTGGCGCTGCTCGGGCTAGAGGTGCTGGGACTGCTGGAGCTCCTGACGCTGCTGGTGCTGGAGGAGCCCCTGGTGCTGTTGGTCTCGTAGGTGCTCGTACTAGAGGTACTGGAGCTGCCGGGGCTGGTGGTGCTCGTCCTAGGGCTACTGGATCCGGTGCTGCCGACAATGGAGAATCTAAAGCTGGAGACACTCGGACTGGCGGCCCTGGTGCTGGAGGCGCTGACGCTGGAGGCCCTGGTGTTGGAGACTCTGGGGCTGGACGAGGTGGAGCTAGTGACGCTAGCACTGGAGGTACTGCTGGCGGTGGTGGTGTGCAGCGGCATCTGTTCTTCACTCAAGTGTCGCCGTCGTCTCTCCCACCGTCTGACTCTGTGCTTCGTCACGTTCTTACCCTCCCGTCTTCTATTGGTCTTCCGTTACAGCCTGGCTCTCCGCTGCCTGCTCCTTCTCCTTACACGGAGCAGACAGACTCGCTTACAGAGCGTCGTGAGCCTGCGTCTCGTCTTGCCTCGCCTGTTCGCGCCGCTCGCACTGCTCGCCGTGTCCCGCGTCCGCGTCCTCCTCCTGTGCCAGGTACTCACACTATGGCACTTCGTCCTTCCTC